TGCTTTGGCCAATGGGGAAGGAGCAAACTTGATCCAGTTAAGGGTTAGAAAAAGTGTTACACCTTCTTGCGATGAAGATCAGCCCAGGCTAACCTCCTGGTGGATGAGGGCCACATAGAACAGTGCCATCTGACACCAAACAGCTACTGGCTGACTGCAGATGCATGAAGCAACCCAACTCAGCCAAGGCTGTTGGCTGGATAAGTAGAACCCTCACCCACCAGATGACTCACACACTTGTGAGAATCAGTAAATGGTGGTGGTGGTGGTGTGCCATGGGGTTGGTTCCAACTCATAGCGTCCCTATATGGGTTTCTGAGGCTGTAAATCTTTACTGGAGTGGAAAGCTTCATCATTCTCCCGTGGAACAACTGTAGTTTTGAACTGCTGACTGTGAGATTAGCAGCCTGATTCATAATGACTAAGCTACCACAGCTCCTTAGTAAATTGTAGGTGATTTATTAATTTGGAGATGCTTTGCTATAAACAGTCATGGTCCATGCTGAGAGTTAAGATAATGCTTGAATCTTCTCTTATCCTTTGGGTATGAAAGCCACTGTTTTATTTCTGAGCAAATTGCTGCACTAGCAACAGAATGACTTGAAATTAAAGTGCCAGAAATACTTGTAATCAAGTCATTTTAATCTGTGTACACTTGCATGATTTATCAAGTATATTATAGTTGACTTGAACATAAAGGGACAATGTTTTCTGTTTGCGTGACGCACATTCAACACACACAAGCAAACCAAGCCCTAATTACATATGCATCATTATGTATAATTTCTACTGTTTGTGACACGCACTGTGGCTGTCTGTTCCAATGGCAGAGACTTGGTTCTTAGCTCATGGTTCGTTTGCAGCTGGATTTTTTGAGCCTGAGATCACTTTAAGGAATTCTTAGAAATGAATAACACTCTTACAGTAATAACACTCTTAAGCAGCTCTGGTAGCATAGTGATTATAAGTTGGGCCACTAACTTCAATGTCAGCAGTTCGAAACTATCAGCTGTTCTGCTGGAGAAAGATGAGGCTTTCTGCTCTTGTAAACATTCACAGCCTTAGAAATCCTGTATAGGGTTGCTATGTGTCGGAACCGACTCCACGGCACATCACCACCACCAATAACTCTGACCAAAAAATAAGCAGTGCAAATCCACTACTGACACCTCAGGAGAAAGAGGCAGCTATTTCCTGCTCCTGTAAAGATTTACAGCCTCGAGAACCCTATACACGGTGACTGAGAGTCAGAATTGACTCAGGGCCAGTGAGTTTGTGTTTTTTAATTCAGCAAGGGCACACACTTTAACCACGAAGACTCTTGTATTTAGAATAGGGCACTGCCTGTAAAAGTCTTGCTCCTTAACAGGTCAAATTTCTTAAACTGTTAAATATGCAGTGAGTGTTTCACAAACCTATTTTGTGTGCACACCTTTAAGTTAAAAACGCTTGTGTTTTCCTGTGCCATGTTGGAGGGCTGTGCTATGATCTGAAATGTATCTATGGCACAGAAGCAGTTGAACTCCTTTAACTATCCAGTAGTTTCTGAAAGCAAGTCATTTGAACAATGACACATTAAAATGACTTCTTGAATTCCTCTTGTGGTAGATGTGTTTTCTGTTTTTAAGTGAGCTGATAATTGCTTAGTTCTCTTTGTGGTCCTTATTAATGAGTGAAGTTGAGGGGAAGAACCTGTGAGGAGTGTGAGCAAGGATCACACCAGTGAGAACCCCAAGTGAGTGTCCACAGAGCAGGTGAAGCGGAAGGCAAGAACATGAGACTTCCCTGAGGAAGAACTTTGCAGTTGGCCCATGGGGGGCGTTGGTCCATGGGGGGCGTTGGTCCAATTGTCTGAGCCTCCAAGTGAGTTTCCTCTTTGGTAAAATGTGTAACAAGATTCAGGGGGCTGTGAAGCTAAATTAGACAAGGCACACAGTGGGTCTTGTTTTGTTTTAGCAGCTACATGTAATAATTATTATAAAAATTGTTGCAGGGTATTTATATGAACTAGTATTGTGGTTTGTGGGTGCTATCCAGTGGATTTCAACTCACAGCCACCCCCAAGGACAGAGTAGAGCTGTCCCCATCAGGCTTCCCCAGCTCTAATCTTCTCCCTCAGAGCCACTCTGTGGAGTTAGCCTTTTGGTGAGCAGGCAAGTGCTTAATGTACCACCAGGGCTCTCCAACACATATTAGCAATGAGAACAAAATCACCTAATAAGTCACCAAAGAGTAGACTCGACACGAGGCCGGCATAGGGGCTTATCTAATGGGGAAATACTGCTACTCTATGCACGTGGGCAGAAGTATCCCAACTGGAGATGTGGGAAGGGCATGAAATCCAGGTGTTCCTATTAACACTCGAATGAACAGTCTCCAAACAACAGGTGATTAAAGTAAAGGATTTATTGTAATCTGCTTACAGTCCTTTGCAAAGACAGACATATGTTTTTGCATAAAGATATAAATTGCTTCATTTTAAACTAATTTAGTGTGTTTTTAATTATATGAAGAAGTTTTGATGAATTATGAATTGTACCAAACCAAGATTTTTTTTTTTTTTTTTTTTTAAGAGCAATATGGTAAAAAAATAAGAGCAGACAGACGATTTGAACTGGGACAGGCATTCAACAGTGAATTGAGAATATGGCTTTGCTGTTTCATCAAGCAAAGTTACCTGGAGACAGACAAAGAGCCAGTAACTTTGTTAATATAAAAAGCTGATGTATACCATCATCTCCATCCCAAACCTGGTTCGGTAGAAATTCCAATTCCATAAGAAGTGTGAACTGAAAGCCGCATTGGTCAGCCTTTTCCATTTCAGAAACTCCCCATCTGCATGCTGTGTCTTCGTCGCCTTCGAAGTGTGGCTTTCATATTGCTGTGCGTGTAAAGTCGATGGCGATGAAAAGATCTGTCTAGAAATTAAATTCCTGAAATTGCAAATTATGTATGGAAAAAACTCCTTCCTGTGAGTCCAGCATTCACAGGTTTCCCCTTGCATAGCGCAGGCGTCTTTGGAAAGACAAAGTAATGTTTGCCTGCATGGTGAACCCTGGAGAGAAGCAGCAGTGACAATGCTGCCCTCCCTGGACCTGGGCCTCTCCAGCTTCAGCTTTCAGCTTTTGGAAAAGAATGTGATCTCACTGACAACCTGGTGACTGTCATTGCTTTGCAAAGATTAATTTGGCCTCTATTCAAAAGTAGCTTATTTAGTGCAATCATATTGTTAGCTAAAATACATATATGCCTGTGATTCGGGGCAAGAGAAAAGCCATCAATTTGCATCAGTGCCAAACAGATTAACGAATTAAAAATTTTAGTGCCACTGTCTTGCTTGTATGATCTGTAGTGTATTTTTTGTTTTTTTTGTTTTTTTCTTTTTTCAAAACTGTTTATGTATAAAATTTCTTTTTAAAACCTACCTTTTAAAAATCTAAAAACCCTCTCATTGTCTTCCGGTCTCCACACTGCTCTGACTGAACCTAGCCAATGTGCATCCTCCCTTTACATCCTGCAATGAGCTATGCATGTGTGTTTCTACCTCCGCTTCCAGGAGTGCAAAACCCCTTTCCAAGATCAGGAGGGAAAACAAGATCTTTTACTGGCAAAGAAAGTGCCTGGAGTTTTTCTCCTAAAAGACAGGAGAAGGGAGGGGGGTATAACACTCTCTGTCTCACGGAGCTCTCCAAGTACTGAGTTCTGGATCTGGAGGGAAAGGGGGAAAGGACCGCTCTCCTAAAGCAAACAGATGATTTGAACTCAGCACTCCCCGGCCATCCTCTCACATGTGTGTTACCACATGTACCTTCCCAGAGCAGCGAGTTGTGCTGCTCCCTGATGGAAGTTGGATGAAGCCGAAGCCGGAAAATGTGCTCAAGTCCCAGTGACATCCCGAGTGGGAGACCAAGAGAAAACAAAAGTACAGAAAAAAGTAGAAAGGCTTAAAGACAACCAAAGAGGTTTACGTGTGGTTATTTACAACAGAGACTGTAAAATGGTAAATTAGATATGAAGCTAAAAAAAGGCACAGCTTTCCCTTCCTTAAATACACTGTAAACGGTTCATTATGCATGCAGAACATTTCACTTTACAAAAAAAAAAAAAAATTTACCTTGTTTTAGACAAAGATTGTACTTAAATAGTCTCCAGCAAAATAGAATTCTTTCAAAAATACTTTCCCATTCATCCTATTAACCATTAAAGAATTTTTTTTTTATGTGTCTCATTTACAAAAGTTCCTTATACCTTATTTCAGGTCCTTCACAATTTATACATACAGTAATGTACAGCACAGCAAAAGACTGCCAAAAATTATCTGTAAAGCCAACACAATAGATACTAGAAATTTAAACCAAGGCATTTGTTTGAACATCTTATCCATCCTAGTTAAATAATAAATGGACACTGAAGGGCGTGTACACCAGTGATGCAGGGAATGTGGGTGACCGATGGCCCCCGGGGGCTGGGGGGGCCATTACGGCACACCACATGTTCCATTATTACACAACAGGAATCTGTATACATTTTTTCTTTTCTGTGTTTTTTAAATAACAAAAGAATATTAATGCCCCATATTGACTATACGTTTTATGTGCAAACCAAGGGTAAGCTTGAAAAAGTTCGTTAGTTCATGAACCCTTTTAAAACAAGCGAACAATACCAGAAACTACATGGCATAGTTAAAACTTCCATCTGTTAAAATATCAAAATCGGAGTTATTGACTAGATATGGCTTTTCATCCAGAGGAAACAGGAACATTTTGCGAAGCACTGGGGTTGGAGAGGGAAGAATCCTTCAGACTGCTGAGGTCTTGCCAAACCTATGTCAGATGGCTTTCCAGGCTCCAAACCCTTGACATGATTTTCAACGTTGAGAAACCGCTGAACACGTGTGAATCAATCATCGCCTGTTGGAAAGGTGATTTCTTGGGTCCTTTGTGGGCGTGGAGTTAACAGAGGGAAACTTAAGGCAAAGTTCTTTCACAAAGACAATTCTGTCACTTCCTGTGAAAGTAAAGGGGCTTGGCGTTCCCAGATTCCACCTTTGGCAGCTGGTCGCTGATGATCTCCACCAGCATGGCCGGGAACTCCACCTTCAGGGCCTTGGACTCGCGGAAAGTGTAGAAGCAGAATTCCAGTAAGTCACTCACCAGCTGCAACAGAGGAAGGGGGTGGGGTGGGGTGGGGGGGCATGACATCAGAGCCTCACTGTCTCTTGTCCTAGGCCATACCTTCTAATTTGGGTGTGAACTCAAACATCAGCTTGTTCTGATATGGCGTTGTAGGAAAAGCACTGGACCATAAGGCCGATTGAACCACAAGGTGGGCAGTTCAAACTTACCAGCTGCTCCTCAGAAACCCTATACAGAGTAGCTATGAGTCAGAAATGACTCGGCACTTACAGGGTAGCTATGAATCGGAACTGACTTAGTACTTACCAACAACACTCATTCAGAGATAAGAGTCATGGTGTGAGGCTATAGTATAAAGCACTGGACTGCAAATCAGTTTGAACTGCAAAGTCAGTGGTTCAAACCCACTAGCCACTCCATGGAACCCTTGTACAGGGTCTATGAGTGGGAACCAACTCAATAACCCATTATAACACTGGCTGTAGGATAAACAATGGCTGTAGGATAAGCACTGGACTCCTAACCGCAAGGTCAGAAGTTCAAACCCACTAGGTAGGAAATCCTATACAGAGTTAATAGGAGTCACAACTGACTTATTAGCACTTAACAGGAAGCCATCATGTCTTCAAAACCACCTAGTTCCCTCAGCCAATTCTTCAATCCTGGGGAGAAAGAAGGGTGCCCAGCATCTTCTTAGGTAACACCTTGTCTGTAAATCAAGGTCACCAACCAAAACAACAAGCCCTCTGCCATCATGTCGTTTCTGACTCATAGTGGCCCCACAGGGCAGAATACACCTGCCCTATAGGGTTTCTAAGACTGTAAATCTTTATGGGAGCAGACAGCCTCATCTTTCTTCTACAGAGCTGCTGGAGGCTTTGAACAGCCAACCTTATGGTTAGCAGCCCAACACTTGTCTTGCTGCACCACCAAGGCTCCTTTAAATGCACCAAAACCCAAAACAAGCAAAGCCATGGTCACCAACTCATAACAACCCTACATAGGTTTCTGAGACTACATCTTTATGGGAGCAGAAACAGCCTCATCTTTCTCTTTGCAATGCAGGTGGTAGATTTGAACCACTGTGACCTTATTTAGGTAAGTACCTCAATATTTAACCCACAGCACCACGAAGGCTCTGTGAATGTACCAAACAGGTATGTGATTACTGGATATTACATCAGAGGGAAGTGGGGCTGAGACAGAATGAAGGGCGCCTGGGGCACAGGACTGCTCTCATCAGCATCTGATTTCCTAACATGTGAGTAGAGAGGGGACTTCACCTGATCATAGGGGGCTCAGGGAGAGGCAGGATCTGTCTGTGCTTCCCTCATGTGGCTCAGGCCTTAAGGGTGAGGAGTCCTACAAGGTTTTCCTTGGGGGATGCAGGCCTTCTCCCCCAGCTCTGGCTGCACCTTGTCACCAGAACCTCCAGCTGCAAACCCTGTCCCCGCATCCGCATCCACCCTGTCCCACTCCACCACTTTCTTCCTGCCAGCAGGCTTCCGCCTGCTTGAAGGTTTGTTGTTGTTAAGTGCCATGGAGTGGATCCCACCCATGTTGTTGTTGTTATGTGCCGTGGAGTCGGAACCGACTCATAGCGACCCTGTACAGGGTTTCCGAGGGTGTAAATCTTTACGGGAGTAGAAAGCCTCATCTTTCTCCCACGGAGCAGCTGGTAGTTTCGAACCGCTGACCTTGCGGTTCACAGCCCGAGTCGTAACCACTACGCTACCAGAGCTCCTTTAGCGATCCTATATAGGGTTTCCAAGGAGCAGCGGATGAGCTTGAACCACCGACCTTGCAGTTCAAATGACAGTTCAAATTAGCCCACAGGGAAAGTACTTCCTGCTATGGGCTGGGCAGAGTCTCCTTGGCCACATTCTGCTTCAGGCTCTTTTTGAGAGAAGTGAAAACATCAAGGACACTTCAAGGTCTCCTGTGCCCCCTAGCCCATTTTCGTTTCCCTGCTTTGTGACTCAAGGGCCTTTCCCACCTCCCTGGACCTGAACCAACTCCCAATTCTGGAAGGTTGGAACACCAAAGCCATAAAAACAACACTACTTCCTGGTTGACAGTCAATTTCCTAGGAGTGGGCCTTTAAACTAGAAAGTATACACTCTAATTTTTCTCTGAATTCCATCCTCCATTATGGAAAAAAGAATGACTTTTGGTCATTTTCCACTGTGTTACAGCAGACAATGTTAGCACCGTCAGTCATAAAATGGTGAACTTCTAATAACAGGAATCCTGCTGGCACAAGTAATCAGCTGCCAATCTACAGGCCCATGGTTCAAACCCACCAATTGTTTCACTATCAGTCTGCTCTCATAAAGATGGAAAGAAACAACAAAAAACAAACCAAACTTACTGTCATCGCATATTAGCAACTCTATAGAACAAAGCAGAAATGCTCCCTTAGGATTTCCAAAACTAGAGGTTTATAAGCGCTGACAGCATCATTTTTAGCCTCTGGAGTGGTTGATGGGTTTATACCCAATGTGTAACCCACTATGCCACAAGGGCTTTTTCCTATAACTAACAACCTATAAAACCTTATGGGGTAACATTCTACTCTGTCACATGGGAGACTCTGAGTCAAAATCGACTCTAGAACTAGCAGCAGCACAATTCAGTAAAGTGCTTATGATAAAACTGCATCTGGAAAAAGAACCCAAATCAACACATTCACACAACATCAACAATTAGAACAAGATCAGCAAAGTAAGCCTATGTCACAAGAAGCAAAGAATTAATAAAATTTACAGCAGAAATAAATGAAAGAGAAAAACAGTACAAAGAATCAGCAATACACGAAGCTTGTGTGGGATAATGCACTGCACCACCAGGTAAGTGTGAACCACAAGGTCGGTGGTTCAGACTTACCAGCTGTTGCCTGGAAACCCTATACAGGGTCACTATGAGTTGGAACTGACTTGATGGCCCTTAACAACAACAATATGAGGCGTTGTACTCCAACAAATATGAAAACGTAGAGGAAATGGAAAAACATGACCTACTTAAACTAAGGTAGAATGAAGTAGAAAACTTGAATAAACTAATAACAAACGAAGAAATAGATCAGGTCATCAAAAAGCTCGCACCAAAAAAGTCCAGAACAGATGGCTTTACTGGTACATTTTACCAAATATTCTGAGAAGAGCTGGCACCAATTTTACTCAAACTATTCCAAAATATAGAAAAGGATGGAAACCTTTCTTACACATTTTATGAAACAAACATAAGCTTCATACCAAAACCAGGAAAGGATACCATTTTAAACAACAACAACAAAAAAATCATAGGCAGTATCCCTCATGAGTCCCGGTGTGGCACTGTGGGTTAATGCACCAGACTGCAAAGCCATTTGAACTGCAGGGTCGGCGGTTCAAGCTCACCAGCTGCTCCTGGGAAACCCTATACAGGGTCGCTATGGGTTGGAACCAACTCAACAGCACTTAACAACAACAATCCCTCATGAACACAGATGCAAAAATTCTCAATAGAATCCTAGCAAATAGAATTCAACAATATATCAAAAAAAAGAATACATCATAACCAACTGGGATTCAAACCAGGGATATAAGGATGGTTCAATATTAGAAAAACAATGAACATAATCCACCATACAATTTTTTTTTTTTTTTTTAAGGTAAAGGAACCATGATCATATCAATTGATGCAGAAAGAGCATTTGACAAAATCTAATATCCGTTCCTGATAAAAACACTCAACAAAGTAGGAGTTGAAAAAGAAATTCCTTAACATAATTAAGAGCATACATACAAAACCAACAGCCAACATCACTCTCAATGGAGAGAAACTGAAAGCTTTTCCTTTGCGAACAGGAACCAGATATTGTTGTTGTTGTTAAGTGCCGTTGAGTCGGGTCCGACACATAGCGACCCTGTACAGGGTTTCCGAGGGTGTAAATCTTTACGGGAGTAGAAAGGAACCAGATAAGATGCCCTTTTTATCACCACTCCTATTCAATATTGTCCTGGAAGTCTTAGCCAGAGATATAAAGCAAGATAGGGAAATTAAAGGCATCCAAACTGGCCAAGAAGAAGTAAAATTCTATTTGCAGATAATATAATCCTATACATAGAAAAATCCCAAAGACTTGGGAAAAAAAATAGTTGGAACACGCTGGAAGATTCAACAAAGTGGCAGGGGTACAAGATCAATTTACAAAAATCAGTTGGTTTATTCTATTCAAATAAAGACAGCTTTGAAAAGGAAATTAAGAAAACAACACCATTTATAACAGCCACCCAAAATTTGAAATGCTGTTGTTGTGAAGTGTTGTCGAGTCGGTTCCGACCCATAGCGACCCTGTATAGGGTTTCCTAGGAGCAGCTGGTGAGCTTGAACTGCCAACCTTGCAGTTCAAACGGCTTTGCAGTCTGGTGCATTAACCCACAGCGCCACACCAGGATTCCAAAAGTTGAAATACTTAGGAATAAATCTAACCAGAGAAACAAAAGACCTATACCAAGAAAACTACAAAATCAGAAAAAGATATTTGCAAAAATGAAAAAATAAACCATACTCAGGGGTAGAAATACTTAACATTGTGAAAATGTCAATACTACTCAAAGCAATCTACAGGTATAACAATTCCAATCCAGATTCCAAAAATACTCTTTAAAGAGATGGAAAAAATGATCATGAACTTTATGTGAAAATGAAAGAGACCTCAGATTAGCAAAACACTATTTAAGAAGAACAACAAAGCTGGAGGCCTCTCACTCCCTGATTTCTCAAAATTTACACAACTACAGTGATCAAAAATAGCCTAGAGTACCGGTACAATGAAAGATACATAGATCAAGTGGAACAGAATTGAGAACCCAGAAGTAAATCTATCCACCTACAGTCAGCTGATCTTTTTAACAAAGGGCCAAAACACATTAAATAGGGAAGAGATAGTCTCTTTAACATATGGTGCTGGCAAAACTGGAAATCGATTTGCTAAAGAATGAAACAAGACCCATAACTCACACCATATACAAAAACAA